ATATCAATCTATATATATAAAAATGAATGTATGTCAGTGTGTGTGTGTGTGTGTGTGTGTGTGTGTGTGTGTGTGTGTCCATATTACCATGGCAACCATATCTGTATATAAAAAACAGTAAGCTGATTGACTGCTATCAACGCACAGCTCAAACCATTGGACGGATCTGGCTGAAATTTGGCATACAGATAGCTATTATAATATAGACGTGCGCTAAGAAAGGATTTGCCAAAATTCGCATTTTAAATAGGTGCTGAAACAGGGACATTGAGATTCACGATAGAAATTGGAAATTTTATTTTTATTTATTTATAGTTGCCATTGGTTACAGTCTACATTAGAAATTAGCATTTATTTATTGGTTGCCATTGGTTATTCGGGCAGATCAGGTACAAGCTTGCATCAAATCGAATTATTGAACAATGCTTACCAGGGTGGCAGAGTTGCACTTACCGCAGAAAATTACACCCAAAAGGAGTTCAACAATCATAATTTTTTTAAGAGTTGCGATTTTTTACGAGCAACCAAATTTATTATATTAATCCACAGTATTACATCAAAATAAACTTGGTATAACTTTGATACTTTAGAGTTAAATCATACACTTCCGTACAAACAGCACGGGGTCCGCGATTTACCGCAGGTAGATTGCCTACCTGATAATGTACTGCTGCGATTCAGAATTTTTATTCAGGGCAACGGGAAAGATAAGATAAATTTTGAACACCATACACCGAATATTGAATAATGAATTGAACAAAGTTTGAGTAGGTAGTATTGAGTTGATCCATTTAACGGGCGACGAAGTGCACGGGATCAGCTAGTTATAATATATAAATAATAATAATTTTTAATTAAGTTTGTTTTTTTCCCTTACGAACACTCAATTTGCCAAACTAAACTACCAACATTTGAATTAAAATATTCTTTAAAATAGTCCCGTACTTGAAATTCTTCGCTAGTGCTATTTCTTCTTAACGAATCTACATTTAATAGAGCTGATTCTGGAAGTTGAAGTGATTCAGTGTCTGGTTCAAACGCATTATCTGCACACAACATGTTATGAAGGCAGCATGATGCGAGTACAACTTTATCTACAAATTCTGGTTGAATTTCTAATGGTCCTCGAAAACATCTCCGGCGTGCAGCCAGGATCCCAAAAGCATTTTCCACAACACACCTGGCCCGTGACAATCTGTAGTTAAATATTTTGTTGGGCTCGTTGTCCTCTAAATAACTTCTGCTATATGGACGAAGTAGGTAGGTTTTCAATGGAAACGCTTCGTCGCTGGTAAATATCCCACCACGCATACATTCTGGACATTCTTTTAAAATTTAATTAGTTATTCACTCATTAATTAGGTCAAAACCGACATACATAATAATACTTATTAAATTAACAGTGTAAATTCATTGTGTTGTTGTGAAACAAGCCATTACATTATCATAAATTTAAAACAACGTGGATCAACATAATACCTACCTATCACATATTATTATTGTCTCATCGATTTTCCTCCTAAATATATTCACCTAACTTTTGTGGTTCTACAAAACATTATGTAGGTACTTGCTATAATAATAAATAACAAATAGATATAAATAACTCCTAAATAGAGTTACAGAATCACAGTTTCGTATAGATTCATAGTTTTGATTTCACATTACATAATATACTTAATAACTAATAGCACTTACAATATTATAGCCGATCTTAGAGTTAATATTTTCTATACATTATTTCACACACTTCTTTGGCGGTTCTACAAATTGTGTGCACACAACACAAACGTATCTCCATAAACCAACTATCAGCTACTACAGACCTTTGGCTTAGCAATTAATTTAAAATTCATTATATTTCTCAAGGTTCGTCTCAATCCATATCACTAATTCTTATCACAAATCCTAAACTTTCATCTTACGACTGTCGCTACTTTTATAATTTAAACGACTCTTACTCCAAAATTGGTACCCCAAAATTCAGCGAGTCTCATGGGCCAACTAGAATCTATATTTTTGATTATTCACTTATCTGCTCAACTAACGGGGTCCGCAATCCACCGCAGGTGGAGTGCATACCTGATAATATACTCTTCGCATATTGCTTACCGATGTGATTTTATGACTGATAGCTAGACAATCAAATGCACATATCGACTCTACACTTTTTAACAATTTCAACAACCAAAAGCAGCTGACAAACGCCTTGAGATCCTGGAGATCGTATCCATTTACAATGTTCGTGATGGATTGCTAGACGCTCAAACTTTTAAACATTCCCGCCAAAGCGCCAAGCCTTATCTCCAATCCATATCACTACTCCTTATCACAAATCATAAACTTTCGTCTTACAACCTTTGAGACTTTTATAATACCAACGACGTTGTCTCCAAAATCGGTACCCACTCTCGGCGAGTTCCACGGGCCCCGAGTTTCACTTAGAGCTAGTCCTAATATATAAAATGACAAGGAAATCAGCTGTCTACAAGCAACCCGTGGAACGGAAAACGCAGGCTATAGTGAAACCGTGGAGTAAAAAATGAAGCACCGCTCCGTTTCCCCAGCCCGCCGGCCATGTCCCGTTGATTCCTTATAGCGCGACCAATCGCGTACCTTCACAGCGGCGGCGGTCGGTTTTTCGTTATCACCTCTTTTCCTATTATTCACCGATTTTTGAAATTTTCGGAAAATTAGCTGTTTTTACACGATTTCGAACCTGTTGGTCCTTTTTTATACTTAATTCGAAGCCGCCGGTGTGCGGATTATATTCGTGCGCCGTCCGAAGCGGTCGCAATATCGATCGAAAAATACACTCCCGACCGGACTTTTTTGCCGATTTTTTCCTTTTCTCCCACCGTTTCGTCTATTTGCACGCCGTTTGTGCCCGAATCGTGTAGTTGACGTCTTTTTAAAGCCGTTTATATGGGCTTTTTCCCCGAAATCGGTTCGTTCGCCTCGCAATCGCTTTTATAAATTACGCCGGCGATAGACCGACCGTACGCGTATATATACATGTATATACGTGTATAATTTAATTTTTCCCTATGATTTAATAATTATTAACGAAAAACGCTTTTCACACGCCCCGTTAAATATATATATATGGGAGATGCGCGTATTACAAGCGAATTATATGCGATTACATTGATGTACATCGAATATATCGGTTTACGTCGCTCCGTAGATACACGGCTTAAGTGTTGATGTTTTGACCGTATTTCACATATCAAACTGTGTCCAAGTAGGTTAGGCGTTAGGTAGGAAACACGTAGGTCCTGAGTTCGAATCCGTCGTACGCTCGCCGGGCATCGAAACCGTCATGGCCATATGGTGTACACGGCCGCCCGAAACTCGACTTTTTTTGCATTTTTTTTCACTATATTTTTCATATAAATTAAATAATAATACAGGAACATATTTATCGTACATTATTATTATTATTATTTAAAGTCATTGTCATATTATATCACACAATAAATAGGTACATGTTATATTAAATATAACAAATTTTGTTTTATTAGGAATTATTATAATTGCATATTTTTTAAAATTTCCATGATTGTTATATAAATATAGTTTGTATTTTATTTCGGATTGCCTACCTAGGTGGCTAACTTGAAAGTTAATTTGATTTTGACTTGAGATGACTGACTTGCTAGACACACCAACACGGTTTTCGACTTTACACTTTTTACATAAGAAAAGGCACCGGACATGCGAAGGCACATACCTACCACTCAATGTGATATACCTACTAAATGTAGGTGATAGACGGATTGCTCATTTTAGTTTCGTCTTAAACGGTGATGATTGACTTGATAGACACTTTAACATGCAGGTTTTTGCATTTTTTTTTAAAATTAATATATGTATATACACTATAGGTTCATGTTTATATGTATTGTATTGGTTAATATAATAGTGTGTATCTAACTATCTACCTAAATGTAAATTTTTTTTAGGAATTATAATAGCACATTTCTCAGAATCTTCATTGTTATATTATATCACACAATAAATACATATCATATTTTTTGGTATGTATATTGTATATAGTTTGAATTTTTCGTAAATTATTTCGTAAGTTGTGTGATAGGGTTTTCACTTATAGCCGCTTGACGTCGGGTCTGCAATCCACCGCAAGTGGATTGCCTACCTGATTTGCTGTAGCACATTGTCCGCGATCCGACGAAGTCGGATTGCCTACCTAAGTGGCTAACTTGAAAGTTAATAGATTTTAACTTGAGATGACTGACTTGCTAGAAACTCAAACACGGTTTTCGATTTTACACTTTTTACATAAGATAAGGCACCGGTCATGCTACGGCACATACCACTCTATGTGCAGGTAAACTCTATATCGGTGATCTTGGAGATCGTATCCAGCCTATCCATTTACAACGTTTGTGACGGATTGCTAGACGCTCAAACTTTAAACATTAACGCCAAAGCGTCTAGCCTTATCTCCAATCCATATCACTAAACCGTATCACAAATCATAAACTTTCGTCTTACAACCTTTGCGACTTTTATAATTCATTGTCTCCAAAATCGGTACCTACTCACAGCGTGTCCAACGGGCCCCGAGTTAAGGTCTATTCACACATGTCCGGTCCGTGTCCGGTCCGTATCCGTAATGGCCGTGAAGATGGCCCACCCAATTTCTCTCAAACCATTCTAACCTATATCAACATTTAGCAAATAATTGGCAAGAATTAGCAAGTTAGGTTTTAGAATTGGCAAGTCGTTATTTTTAAGTACGGGACAATATTAAAAAAAGGTGGGCCAACTTCACGTAGCCCACCTTTTTTCACCCACACGTTCGAAACTGGTATCAATCGATTTCTTATAATTAGCAAGTATTTGCAAGTTCAAAAAAAAATTTGCAAGTCCACCTTACGACCTGTGCGAATTTTCAAAGTTCGGTGGGCCAGCCCACCTTTTTTCACCCTTGTAAAACTAGATGGAACAATATAAGAGACAATTTTCGTAAGTCAATGAGGAAAAATATAACAAAAAGTGGTCAGGCAGCACATAAAATTAAAAAATACAAATATCAAGACCAGCTTGAGTTTTTAAAACCACATCTCCAAGAAAGGGACACGATGAACAATTTAGAAAACGATGATTCTGATCATGAAGTTGGACACGATGTATCTGAGGAAATCGCAAAACAAAGTAATAAAGTGAACAAAAATATAGAATATGAAGAAGAAGAACCATCATCTTCCCCGGCAACAAATAAGCCACTTAAAAAACGAAAATTAAATACTCCAGAAACAGCTTCATCTACTTTGATGAAGTATTTAATTGAAAAAAATGAGAGCAAAAAAGACACATTACCAACCGTTTTACAACAACATCCTGTTGATGCTTTTTTAGCTAGTATTTCTCCGTCTCTGAAATCGTTTTCACCATATAATTTAAATTTAGCAAAGACTAAAATTTTTTCCATTGTCCAAGAGCTTGAAATGAACATGATTTTAGAACAACAAAGGCAAACATCTTATACTACGATCAATTCACCACCACAACACATGCAGTATTCCCAACAACAACCACTTTCAGAGTATAATAACTTATCTGTAGATACCCATACACAAAATCATCCATATACTTCTACGCCTATTCGAAATACACCCACGGGACAACAAACATACAAAAACATAGACACACAATCTGTTCAATTGCCATTTTCTCCTTCCATCTACAAACCAGGACATGCATTCAGGACCAATTCATGATGTCGGACAAACAAATGGCTCAAGAGTTGCTGCCTACTATGAAACATTTAGTGCAATTAAAAATAAGTAAATAATTAAAACTTACAGCTTATAAGAATGAAAAAGTATGTTTATGATTACCTAATTATAATTTTTTTAATAATTTATTTCTCGTGTAATATATAAAATAATATTTACCAAAGTATGGTTGAAAAATACAAATGTTTTGTTTTATTTGTTACTAGCTGATCCCGTGCACTTCGTTTCCCGTTAAATGTACCAACTCTATATGACTCAAACATTGTTCAATGCGTTATTTAATATTCGGTGTATGATGTTCTAGATTTATCTTAACTTTTCTGTTGCCCGGAATAAAAATTCTGAATCCCGTGCACTTCGTCGCCCGTTAAATGGATCAACTCAATACTACCTACTCAAACTTTGTTCAATTCATTAACGTGTATGGTGTTCAAAATTTATCTTATCTTTCCCGTTGCCCTGAATAAAAATTCTGAATCGCAGCAGTACATTATCAGGTAGGCAATCTACCTGCGGTAGATCGCGGACCCCGTACTGTTTGTACGGAAGTGTATGATTTAACTCTAAAGTATCAAAGTTATACCAAGTTTATTTTGATGTAATACTGTGGATTAATATAATAAATTTGGTTGCTCGTAAAAAATCGCAACTCTTAAAAAAATTATGATTGTTGAACTCCTTTTGGGTGTAATTTTCTGCGGTAAGTGCAACTCTGCCACCCTGGTAAGCATTGTTCAATAATTCGATTTGATGCAAGCTTGTACCTGATTTGCCCGAATAACCAATGGCAACCAATAAATAAATGCTAATTTCTAATGTAGACTGTAACCAATGGCAACTATAAATAAATAAAAATAAAATTTCCAATTTCTATCGTGAATCTCAATGTCCCTGTTTCAGCACCTATTTAAAATGCGAATTTTGGCAAATCCTTTCTTAGCGCACGTCTATATTATAATAGCTATCCGTATGCCAAATTTCAGCCAGATCCGTCCAATGGTTTGAGCTGTGCGTTGATAGCAGTCAATCAGCTTACTGTTTCTTATATACAGATATGGTTGCCATGGTAATATGGACACACACACACACACACACACACACACACACACTGACATACATTCATTTTTATATATATAGATTGATATGAAATCTTGGTAACCTTAGTAACCATGGCAACCTTGGTAACCATGGTAACATGGACACACAGACACACAGACACACTGACACACTGACATACATTCATTTTTATATATATATAGATTTTAATTTTAAAATGTTATGGTGTGTTATGCTTGAAGTTTAAAACAAATTTAATTATATCCCTCTTATAAAAAACCTATTTTTAAACTGTGCAATACCTTCGCTAAAATTTATATATACTATTTTATGACAATATATTTAGCTATATAGGTTAACAGATTGTAATATTTTTTCACATCATATTTACAAATTGAGCAGTTTTCATTCTTCAGATAAAAATAAAAAATATAAAAAAATATTATTTTACGTGTAAAAAAAAAAAAAAAATATTAATAGGTTAGTAAAATATTATAATAGGTAGGTATAATATATAATAATGATCGTTTGGGTACCTTAGAGTTACTGCAAGTCTTTCCATGGGAGTTATCGCCAGCCTCCAATATGTGTCTTGTCTTTTTATATCATCTTGAATTTTTAATAATAAAATATCAAAACTATATTTCGACATCCGAAAGTACTCAAAAAACTTGGTTTCGTGATCTACTAATTCATTGTATAGTGTTGTGAATTCTCCTTCAATACTTCTTTTCTTCCACATATCATGAACCCAGGTTCGTTTTCTTTTTTTTTTGCTGCTTCATCTTCATCCAGTAGTATTGCAATCATTGCTAAATCTTCGATTTCTAAATTGTCCATCTTAAAAATAAGGTATGAAAACGCTCTTACAATACAAAAGTTCTGTTTGTCACTGAACGAACATGAAATTCGTGATAATAGTGTAGTGCAAAAAATGGAATGCCGGACGACACGGACTTGTGTGAATTACACATTATTATCACTGAACGGACGGTACGGATAC